AGATTGTGGAATAATTCGGAAGATGATGTTAAAAGAGTGATAAAGACTAGATTGTTAAAAAATTATGAAATAGTTTAATATGGAGCCATTCAATTTGTTGTTCTAGAAAGATCCAATGTTTTGTTTTGTTAACTGAAGATTATATAGTTTGAATTTATACTTGAGAAAAAAAGGGGCAGAAATTATAAGACTTTTTTCTTCTCTCTGCCGCCTTCAGTTTAATTTTATTTGTATTTTTTTTGTTGTGCATAGAATTTTGTTTTTTTTATGGAATGAATAAAGTTTATAAATCAAAAACGTCTATTTTACTAGTTAGGTTTAGAGGTATGGTGTGAATTAAGTTCTGATGCAGGTTAGTGTTAACTATAGACCAGTAATATTTAATTTTAGGGAAAATGTCTGAGTTAGGCGTAAATACGGGTACAAACATGAATGTAAGTCAATACAATGTCCTCAGTTTGATGCAAATACAAACATGTGTGTGTGGGTTTTTCTGTGTGTGAAGGTGTGGGTGTGACTGCTGGAGTGCTTCTTAGACCCAGTCACAACTGAAATATACTGTAGAAATAGATTTCATAGTTTGGATGTGATTCAGGTTGTAGTCACGGTTCTTAGTGTTTACTGAAACATTTAACCAAAGAGAAATAAAGAGAAATAAATGCTCAACAATATCAAATCACACATATACGTAGTTGTAGATCTATTGATAAAAGTGTGGCTTATGTTATTTAAAGCTAACAACAGACGAACACCAGTGGTTTACCTGTGGTCATTGTCTTTTATTRTGTGGTTTATCTGACAGCTTCCCTCTGTGTTAATAGTTTATTACAGAGCTCTTGTCAACTTCACCGACTCTGTGGTGTACAGCCCTGAGCTGGAGGACATTTACTCTCTAGAGTTTAAGGAGATTTCCGAGGCTGTRATGGACACGGTATGTCTTTCTTCACTACTGGGTAGTAGTCTTGTTTTCTAAGATTGTTGCAACCTTTTAAGGTTCTCATATGCTATTTATGGTTTTGCTGATTTAAGGATGTCTGTGAGCTGTTCTGAAAATAGTGTCCAGACTTGTTTATCTCACTGTAACTGTGTTTTATTTCCCCTCACAGCTGGAGTCAGACTACAACAAGATTCCAGGTGTCCAAACGGTCAATGTGGTCCTCATTAAGTAAGAACATAAAGCTTGTAAATCATGCCTGCTGACACTGAAAGTAGATATTGTGCAGCTGTATGCTGTTGTCCTATTTCACCCAGGTTTTTCCTCCAAATCCCAGTAGCATTAGTCAGTAATACATCAGCATTAGTGAATCTTGTAAGAAACATCTTGAAGATCWTTCCTTGTTGCCACACAGCATGAAACCTAAACATGCCTTTTTGTTACAGAAAACTCATAAGAGAGGATGGCGTTGATGTGTTTGTGGAATTGGACGTGGGTTCAGATTACAACACCGACGAGGAACAAATCCGCAGCGTGCTTTACAACGTGGTGAACGAGGGAACTATTGCTTCCTACGTCACATCGGTCCAGGGTTTTCAGTTCAGGAAGCTTGGAAAAGGTGAAKCCCCTTTGATTTTAGTGAATTAAGTCTTATCAGAACCTTTGGAAGTTTCCTCAACAATTTCTTTGGTTTCTAGTAGAATCTCTGTCAACAGTGGAACCTAGAWTGGTGCCAGGTTTGTACTGTACCATGCCTGGTGTAAAGACTAACTGCTCTGTGCAAACTGTAGGATGACTGGAGTGATCTGATTGTGTTGATGCTTTATGAGTCCTTTTGACATGCACGTGTGGTTTGGGGAATGTTTTGCATGGGAGCACCAATGTACAGTACTGATTTTGGTCCTAAACTTAAAAAACTTTTGCATGACTCAAATTTGTTTAGGAATGCTACTGTTCACTGCATTATAAAGCAGCTTTTTGATCCTTAGCACGAAAAACAGGCTGATAAGATTAGAACTTCAAATGTTTACTCTCTTGATGACGATTCAAATCTGTTTTCTGTAGGTTTACTGGAGAATGATTTCTAGTCTTTGATTTATTTACGCATTTCAGAGTCCGTGTGTGAACTCATCTACGCAGGATTTATATTCCTTACTCATCCACAATGATAAATGTAGTTTCTGTTGATTTGAACTTTACATGTCTGGAGGAATATTGACTGGTAAAAAAGGGGTTGTCCACACACACACACACTCCTTTCTGCTTAGTAAATTCCTTCATAAGTTTGGACCAAAGGTTTCATTTTTACAAGTAGCTGCCCTGATAAATTTCTGAAAAGATTTATGGCTGATGTACTTACTGAGCATGTGTGCTGTGCCTAGTTTAGTCAAGGTTGTTTAGTGAAGTCAATGTGAGATGTCTAGTCTTGTGGATCAGGTCCAGTTTTTGTAGGTCTGTATGTACCGAATTTATTCAAGTATAATACGTAAAATTTAATCCATAAAATCATCCATAAAGTTGGGGGGTAGTATTATAC